GGTGTGTTGAACTTCACTTCGTTGCACTTCGTTACGTTCAACTGTTTATAGATTACAGTAGGTTCATAGGTTACAGGTGTGTTGAACTCCACTTCGTTGCACTTCGTTACGTTCAACTGTTTATAGATTACAGTAGGTTCATAGGTTACAGGTGTGTTGAACTCCACTTCGTTGCACTTCGTTACGTTCAACTGTTTATAGATTAGAGTAGGTTTATAGGTTACAGGTGTGTTGAACTTCACTTCGTTGCACTTCGTTACGTTCAACTGTTTATAGATCACAGTAGGTTTATAGGTTACAGGTGTGTTGAACTTCACTTCGCTGCACTTCGTTACGTTCAACTGTTATAGATTACAGTAGGTTTATAGGTTACAGGTGTGTTGAACTTCACTTCGTTGCACTTCGTTACGTTCAACTGTTTATAGATTACAGTAGGTTTATAGATTACTCCACTTCGTTGCACTTCGTTACGTTCAACTGTTTATAGATTAGAGTAGGTTTATAGGTTACAGGTGTGTTGAACTTCACTTCGTTGCACTTCGTTACGTTCAACTGTTTATAGATCACAGTAGGTTTATAGGTTACAGGTGTGTTGAACTTCACTTCGTTGCACTTCGTTACGTTCAACTGTTTATAGATTACATTAGGTTTATAGGTTACAGGTGTGTTGAACTTCACTTCGTTGCACTTCGTTACGTTCAACTGTTTATAAATTACAGTAGGTTTATAGGTTACAGGTGTGTTGAACTCCACTTCGTTGCACTTCGTTACGTTCAACTGTTTAAAGATTACAGTAGGTTCATAGGTTACAGGTGTGTTGAACTCCACTTCGTTGCACTTCGTTACGTTCAACTGTTTAAAGATTACAGTAGGTTCATAGGTTACAGGTGTGTTGAACTCCACTTCGTTGCACTTCGTTACGTTCAACTGTTTATAAATTACCAGTTTTCAATGGGAAATTAGTAACGACTTTCAAAATTTTTCATTCGTTTTATAAAATTTAATTTTTTTAAAGCATTCATTAGTAAAGTACATTAAAAATCACTCGTAAAGATTTTGTGTTTATCTGTACCATTTCTACTTCATAACGTGTGGATTCTTAACATAAAGATGCAAATCACATATGTAACGTATTTATAACGGATTTTCAAATTTAAATTCAATGAATATCATTTATATGTTATGCAAAAATACGTCAAACCGTTAATAAAAAGAAAAGTCAATTTAATTAAGTTGGTGAAGTGTTATAAATAATGCAATACATTTAAAACAGCATAAATTTATGCTCAAACTATGTGTGCTAAATGCACATCGTATATTAATAGTTATTTTGCATTAATTCGTAACGGACTTGTGCTTAACGGTTTTTTTGAAAATTCAAATTTTCACTTACGAATATTCATGAAAAAATTACATGTCAATTTTTTTGTCTTACCAGAATATCTTTAGCTGCTCAAATTTATGGTATAATTAATAATTAGTAATATTAATTAAACTATAATAAATCATATAAATGACTTTAGAGCATCACAAGTATAATATTTAATACAAATCAAAATTTTTTATCATTGACATTGGATTTTTTCCCATATAAAAAAGTTTTACATAAATTGTACTATAATTAAGCATTTTTGTGTTTCCAAAGTGTTAAAATATTGTATTGTCACCGGGAATACATGTGCATTAAAAATTTGAGCTCGATTGGAGCAGTAGAAGTGGTCGAAAAATTGATCGCAAGATTTGAAATTTTTTGCAAACAAACAAACAAACAAACAAACAAACAAACAAACAAACAAACAAACAAACAAACAAACAAACAAGAAAGCAAGTTAAGAAAAACGTAGTAAAAAGAAAACATATTTTTTTTCAATTCAGTGAGCAAAATTTATTATCATTAAATGGAATCAAATCATCGTCATTTTATAGAAGCAAGATTGATAAAAAGATGATGAAAGAATTTGTGCGATACGATAGCAATGATTTTTCATCGATGGTGCTCTCAAATGTTAAATCAATTTTAAATAATAATAATAATGATAATAAAAGAAATGTCAACATAAATGATAGTTATTTGTATGAAGAAAGTGAGATAATTGATAATTTGACATTATTAAGTGAGTCGAGGAGCTTTAACAATAACAATTACTCAACGGTGCAGCCAAATGATGGAAACGATGAGGATATCAATAATTATTGGGCTTTATTAGCATTAATTTTAGTTTTTGGAACCGCATGCGGTAATATTTTAGTGTGTCTAGCGATTGCATGGGAGAAGCGGCTGCAAAATGTCACAAATTACTTTCTTGCATCGTTAGCACTAACCGATCTAATGGTTGCTGTACTTGTGATGCCTTTAGGAATTGTAACTTTATATAGAGGTAAGTTTTCTCATTATTGCTCATAATTATGTCTACCATAATTACTTAATATAAAGCTCATTTCCTTAACTACTGGCTGGTAAGCAGCAGCAGAAAGGAAAAGTTCTAATTAAATTATGACTTTCTGTCTCACTCTCATACACATTCTCTGCTCGTCATTCTTTAAAATAATTTAATTACGAACAATCTCTTATATTCAAGAGTTTTATCATCATTATTCTGAATACTTTTTTTATGCCTTCTTTTTTTCAACCCCTTCTCATAATATTGCTCATTTTCTTCTTTCAATTCTTCCCCATCCCTGTCTCCTATCCTCTCAACAATCCGTCTCATCATCTCTCTTATTTCCCTCTTTTAGCAATGATGATTTTTAATATAAAAAGCTTATTTTTCTTGCCTTCTTTCTATTCTATTCTTTTTTGTTAAACCACGTTGTGAATTTAAATCAATTTAAGAAAGAGAAAAATAAAAAAATTTAAGAAATTCCGTGGAATATAAAAATTCAGACAAGAATTGCTCATTTTAGTATAATGTTTTATAAATGGATGAGAATTACAAGCAAACTTTTGTTCAACAACGTGCAAGAATAATGGAAGCTTAAGATGCATACCTAAGAAAAATTGTTGTAAATTTTTAAGATTTTTCAATTTGAAGTCATTTAATAATACGATACTTTATGAATATCATACCTAATAAATTACTTAATTTCATAAAGAAACATCCCTTGGGTATCAATATTTTTCACAATTTTAAATCATAAACGAGGAAAATTCTTAATTTATTGGCATGTTAAAATTGGGTACAGACAAAATTACATAATTTTATGCATAATTACAATTTTTTACTTGTTTTGTTATTCAAATACCCAAAATTGTTTGTACAAAATTTCACCCGGTACAGCGTAATCTGGGTCTTATAATATCTTAATCAGTAAAATTGATAGATAGCAGCACTAATTCCCATCAAAATGATAAAAAAAAACAGATGTAGAATTCGTGGTTAACAAACATTACATTGCTAGAGAGTCGTATGTTAATTTTTGAGATGGAATTATTACAAAACCACAGAATTTCAAAATCCTTTATTCGAATCAGGCACGTGGTCAGGGGGATTTGCGGCACAACTCCCTTCGTCAACAGAAATGTCTTCTTTTTTCTAATGTTTTTATGACAAAAAATAAACTTGAAAATAGCCCCCTTTCCCCCATTTCATACAAAAAGTATTAATTGTTCTGGAATAAAGAACCTATTCAAATCGAGGACACTCTAATTAACTACAACAAGAATGCAAACTCTTAAAAAACCGGAAAAATATCTTAAAAAATTAAAAAAAAAATCCATTTATTTTCCAGAATCAATTATTTTTCAATTTATAATGTCTTTAAAATAAATAATTATTTCCTGGAATAAGTAAATGTTGATCAATAATGAGAGATTGAACATTTTATCAAACATCATTTGTGAGCTCATGCAAAACTATCTTAAAGACTTCACTATAAGAACAACTCAAGAATTATGCATTCTGCAAATAATATCCAGTAGAAACCTCAAATCCAGACGAAAGCCATTAAGAAATATGAAAATCTGACAATCTTTTTGCATGAATAATGGCAGTTTAGAGAAAATTTCCAAAGAATAATTTTTCATCTTCTTAAATGACTTCAAAAATAAAAGCAAAGCAAAGCAAAGAGAGAAGAAAAAGGAAGAAAAATATGAAGAGCATATTTCCTTTTTCAATGAATATCACAATCCTTGAACTTCCATCAACATAATGTTGAAATGATATTTTTCCTTCCATCACGGAAATTCAAAAACTTTTTTTATACACATATTCCGTTCACCCACATTTGCATACATATTACTCCTCTCACAGTGAAATATATGTGTTGAGAAAATATAAAAAGAAGGATTTCACTTTAAACTTCCTTCCTTCATCATTTCGTCCTCCTTAAATCTCTTACTACTATGTATGACTATGTACATAAAACATGTACCGCTTACTTTTTTTTACTTATGCTTTTGAGTAATATTGTAAGATTCTGTACTCATGCTATAGATATGTACTTGTCGCTTCATATTGTATATTCACAGAAGCAAAAGCTAGTTTTCTAACAGACATATGTGACAACAAAAGAAGAAAAAGAAAGAATAGAAAGCAAATCCCCATTTAATATAAAAACAACATTGTTCGAATAGTTGATAAGTGCAGAAATTGCATGATCTTTATAATAATTGTGCTTGATTTTCAATTGTCATTCTGTGATGATGCTTTGACTAAGATTGCATTTCAAAAGATAGGATTTTATTGCAATCTTGTCCAATTTGACTGATATTTCTGTTGATTAAGATTTTGAGATCCAGGAAATACTGATAAATTTTTAGCAAAACCTCATCTTAAGTATCATCATATTTACACAGAAAATTTCTAAATTATTAAATTCCTCATCAAACCTTATAATGAGCAAAATAAATATTGACATCTGAATTTACATTTTCATTTTAACTGGTTGATGAAATTTTCATGAGAATCATGCTAAGGATACAAACATAATAAAACAAAATTCTCACTAAACAAACATAGTTTAAAGCTCTTATGCAATATTGATGTCTAATAGAAGCTACAATCGAAAATAAATCTCTTATCTATACTTTTCCAGGATATTTTCCATTACAATCAGAGCATTGTCTCGTTTGGATATGTTTAGATGTTCTATTTTGTACAGCTAGTATCATGCATCTATGTACAATATCAATTGATCGCTATTTATCCCTGCGGTATCCGATGCGATTTGGTCGCAATAAAACTCGAAAGCGGGTAGTTTTGAAGATATTCTTCGTATGGCTGTTGTCAATTGCGATGAGCTTACCGTTAAGCTTAATGTATTCAAAGGTAAAATTTTAATTGAGTTGATATATTTTCTCATTGACAAAAAATTCTTTTCCTTCTTCTCCATTTCTAAATTGCAATTGTAATTGAATTATTCATAGAATCATGCATCTGTTCTTGTCGATGGAACATGCCAAATACCAGATCCAGTTTATAAATTTGTTGGATCGATTGTATGCTTTTACATTCCATTGGGCGTAATGTTGATAACATATACACTAACCGTTCGATTATTAGCACAACAAAGGCAAAATTTAGGTGGTGGAAGTGGCATAAAAAATGGAAAACAATGGACGAGCGGATGGTTGGGAATTGCTGCACCACCATTAGGTCGGTATAAAACGATAAATTCATTTCATTATAGAGTGTTAAAAATATTAATCCCATTTTGATTGTCGTAATTCAGCGGCATTAAACCTTTTTGTTTCCTTTCTGTGTTCCATTAATCTTAATCACTTTAAATAATATATCCATAGAGAGGAAAAATACGTGGAAAAGGTTCATTAAGACGAGCTTACCATCGACACCAAATCACGCTCATTCAGCTGGCTCAACAGACACTGAATTATCAACATTAGATATTAATACTCACGAATTGTGGTTACCCGAGTCGAGGTAATGAAAATTATGAATTGAATGTGAAGATTTTAGCGCACTTTTCGGAGGTTTTATGTTCACCAATTTAAGATTAATCAATATAAAACATATGAAATTTTATATCCTCATTAAAAAGTAGAGAAAAGAGATGAAGATGTAGAAAAGATTAATAACGGATAGAAAATCATAGCAAGAAAAGTCTAAAGGGCAAAAGTCAAAGAACAGAATCTTGTGATCATAAAAGCGGAATAATATGAAAAGAGGAAGATGAATGAAGCAAGATCTAACGACACAAATTGGTTCTATTTTCAATATTTTCTATTCGAAAGATATTGATATTGAGGATAAAAAGTTAGATATTAAATTCAACATCTTTTTAAGGGTGGGGAGAGCATTGAAAACTTTAAACTTAACAAGATCTTCTTCTGGTTTTAAAAATGCATACTTAAGCATGTGAAGATAGTTCCGTCAATTATCCTTAAAATGCGCTAAAAAAATTCTTCACATCCACAATCGTGTTCTTGAATATTAAAAAGCTAACATGTTAAATTTTACAGCATACCAGAACCAACACCATCCACAATGACAGCACTACATCAATTCGGTGCCGAAATGCTTAAGCTTTCGAGAGGACTTGAATCATTTGCTCCTTTAAGTGAACCATCAAACATTAATGCAGACATTATAGAATCTCGCAATGTGATGGATGAGGAGCCATGTATCAGTAAAATAGAACGAACTCCCAATGATCATCGTGTGAGCAGTAAGACCAAATTGTAAGTATAATAATCTTTGTAAGTAAATCCTTATATCTATATAGCAACAGACTTTTATATATAAATTACATAGAATTCTCGAATATCTCTATCATCTGGGCTAAAAGTGTATGTTACTGTATATTATTAGAAAATAAGGGAGAAAAAAGAACACAAAGGAAGCTTACAGATCCATGTTATTTTTTTTCACTTTCTCCCTTTTATAAAATATATATATTTTCTCATGCTTGATGCAAACAAACGATTGAAACAAAGTGAAATTCAAATAACTCTAGGCGATATTGTATGAGAATAATGATTTCACTAGAATGATATATAAAAAGCATGAGTGAATGTGTCATTCGTGGATTGAATTCTGCCAGCGCATTTCATCTGCTTGTATCAATCAAAATCAAAAAGGATTTCGTTGTTATGTACATAATATAATAGAAGAGAGGGATGAGGATTCATTTCTTTGATCGATATTGTCTTTTCTTCCGGAAGAATCGAGCAAATTCTACAAAATTAAATTTTCAACTGTGCAGTCGACGTAGAGATAGGAAAGCTTATAATTAAAGGACAACCGTAAAACTAATTTTCGATGTCATGGAATTTTCCTTATTTTACACAAAAGCATGTTCAACAATGTACACTGTTCAACGCCCCCAAACGAACCCCCCTCAAAATATAATCCATGACAATAAATTAATCCTTGTTAAATCAACTCTTGTTGTTGATGAACAGACAGTTTGGCAAAATGCTAACAGTAAAATACTATCCCTCATTCCCACGAGAAGACATGCAAAGATAAACCCATCAAAAGCATTTGAGTGAGAAGATGTTGTTTGTTCTCACTATTGTTTTATATTTTATTTTTATTTGCTTAACATTATTGTATGGATGGGATTGTCTGCAAAAAGACTATTAGTGTATTATTTAGGGGTTCCAGAATTCCCGTTCCCGTAAGATTTCGGGAATCGGGAACGGGAACGGGAATATTCCCGGGAATCAACAAAAAAAAAAAAGTTAAAAGCTACACTTACACCATGTATTTTCTTTAGGTTTTTAAATCAAATTTAAATTCTATTTGTTTTGATTGTCAAATTGATTCTTTTGACAATAATTTCCGTTTGAAATTCAATTCTTTTTGGTTTTAGAACAATTCTTAAAGTACGATTTTAACTGGTCTAGCAATCTAGTGCGATTTTTTGAGACAATATTATTGGAGATTGAAAAGTTACGTTATATATGTTTTTGATTTAAAAAGCATCAAATTTGAGTTTAATATTTCAACTCTTAAATTCCTTAAGGGCAATTCTACGAGTAAAGGGAGCTGCAGAAATTTGCATTGTAAGTTTTCGCTACTTGCAAAAATTTAATTTTTTTTTTATCCGTTTTATTTCTTGGATAAAAATATTGTGTTTCTTTTTATAAAGTGTATTTCTCCATTATTGTTACGTTATTCGTTCTTAAAGTGTAAACTTTAAGGCAAAAAGAGGCATGAAAAACGAATTAAAATAAGTTTTTTTAATTCAAAGGTTTGTTAAATTTGTGAATTCAAACATTTTTTGGGTAGAGACAAGTACTATTCATAATGATAAACATTCCCTTTTTACATAATTTTAATTAATTTAAATGTGTAAAAAGTCAATATTCAAAGTTTTTTTAATAGAATAAAGAAATTTTGTAATTTTTTTCACTCGTAGAATTGCCCTTAACGTATGTTTTCATTATTATAATTTTTTTCTTTAAATTGTAGTTCTTTTCATGGAAAATACAAAATAAAAAAAAACTAATCTGAATTGTCGGTTTTTTTTTGGTATGAAAACGGGAATTTCGGGAATATTCCCGATTTTAGAACCCCTATGATTGACCATCGTCAAGACAATAAGACATCGTCAAGACAATGAGAAATCGTCAAGACAATTCTTCTGTAGTTTGTCAGTTAAAAAGTCTATATAAATCCAATTTGTATCAAATATTCATACTATGTGCTTACTTGTGTGTGAACGATGAGTAATTGTTCAAATGTGAAGAAAATAACACAACATATGAAATGTTTTATGATGGCTATAAGTGCTGATCCTTAAAGAACCTAAAATATATGGCAATTTTAAAAACGAATTAGTAAAATAAAAATAAATTTAATTCTTAATTAAGATTTGCTGTTTAAATTAAAGTTTCATGATATCAAATTCATTTTCTCTGTTGGAAATTAGTCAGAAAAACTTTCAAAAAGGCTCACGTAAAGCCTACGTTACGTAAAATGATTAAGTAAAATCACATAACATTAAGTACTATGTTCCGTTCGCTCTTTCTCGATGTAAGTTAAAGATGGAAGTCGATGGACAGGTAAGAGAGAAGCCGATGCAAGATGAAGGAGGGATTAAACTGAGAAAGCAAATTTTTTGATGGTTCTTCTTTCATAGTTAATCATATCAAGTTTAATTTCAACCAAGGAAATGAATCAATCGTGTTTTCATTCCATTACTGCTCACATTTCAGGCTTTGAATCAGAACAGTCCGAGATAGAGGCAAAAACGTTCTTTACCACACACCTGAGCATGAAAAAGAACCACAATTTAGGGTTAGGGTTAGACGCTTGTAATTAAGCTTCTATTGATTACAACCCAAATCATCAGAGGCTCATTTTTCACATTAAACTACACGATACGTCATTGGACCTGATGTAAGTCTAATGCTGTGTGTGAGAACAGGCATCTAGACAAAAAATTGCAAGTCTCATTTACGAGCAAGCAATCAATGTCCTTGATGCCACTCTACATCAAGGATGAACCAATCAATAGCCACGATAGTAAGTCTCACAGGCAGAAACACATGACTCATAGGCTCGATTTACAAAAAAAAAAGAACAGAAAAACTTTTTAAAAAAGGGTCAAAAGACTTTGCTCCCTCAAGTTTTACCCCTCCTCATCTTGCATCGACCCCCCTCTGACCTATTCAACGACTCCCACTCTTAATTTACATCAACAAAGGCTGACGAAATGTAAAACTCAATGCAATGCGTTTTTAAGTAATCATTTCACGTATTGCAAGCATTACGTACGCAATTGTAGAAAGTCAAATGGCTGGTTTCATTAAAGAAAAGGAATTTGAGGACTATTTATTAGTACACTTAGCTTTTTCTTCGTTGTCACTAGCCTCTTGCTTCTTTAATTGTGTCCTGGTTCCTTCAAGCTTCATCAATCTCACTTTCACTTCAATTTTACAGCTTCTTGAATTTAATTTTCTTAACTTTCAATGTTCACTCAGAAAACTTTTCATTTTTTTCTTCACTTTTAATTTTTTCATCACTTTTGGCTTATTTTCATTGTTGCTTCCATTTTATCACTTCACTATCACTTTTATCTTGAACTCCACTTCTTTTTAAGCATTAATAATGTCAAGTTCCAATTTATTTGCACCGATTTGCAACAATATTTAAAAACACGTCTTTAAAGAATTAAACTGAAGAAAATTGTGAGAAAATTGATAATTTCCGTTTGAAATTCAATTCTTTTTGGTTTTAGAACAATTCTTAAAGTACGATTTTAACTGGTCTAGCAATCTACTGCGATTTTTGAGACAATATTATTGGAGATTGAAAAATTACGTTCAGCTCTTGTAGATGTTGGTGGATTCCAGAAATATTAATTTCAAGCACGTTTTTTTTATTTTGGAAAAATTACTTTAATCTAATGTCAATTAAGTTTATTATTTTATGGACATCATAAATTTAAAAAATATTTTTAAATACTTTTTCTCTTCGTTTTTCATAAATATATGTTTTTGATTTAAAAAACATCAAATTTGGTGTCCATCAAGTAGAACGGTTAGGCTAGATAAAAATATATCGTTTATTTTATTTGATTAAGAAACATTTGCACAAATTACTGACCAAGTTTGAACAATTTTCGTTAAGCCCTGTCAGATTTACAGTCGAAAGTGTTAAAAGTAAAAAATCGGCCCTAGCTCCGTTTTCAGATGCTCATATCTCAGAACTGGCAACTTCACAAAATTTAAAAAAGTTATTTTTCTGCTTTCACAAAATAGCACAAAAAACCCATATATGATCCATCACTCAATTCGTTAGGTCACTGTTCTACTTGATGGACACTCAAATTTGAGTTTAATATTTCAACTCTTAAATTCCTTAACGTATGGTTTTTTTTGGTATGAAAACGGGAATTTCGGGAATATTCCCGTCAGATTTTCGGGAAACGGGAACGGGAACGGAATTCCCGGGAATATTCCCGATTTTAGAACCCCTAGTATTATTGCCCACGGTATTTATCTGACCATTCTCAACGAGAATTTATGCAAGATATCCTTTATCTAAAAACATGGCACGAACTAAAATGCTTAATCATGTAATTTTTATAGATTGTTTTCATATCCTTAACACAGATCCCTCCAATTTGATTACAATAGCTAAAAATGGTCATGTCTTAAGTTTTGTGGCATAAAAGGTTATGGGTCACGTTAGGAAACTACTCTTCGTCTACTTGCAGGAATAAAGTTAATAAATTTATTTACTTGTTTATTTATTTAGTCTTTTCTTTTTTGCTTCTTCATGTTTTACAGCACTAAATGCAGCACAAGCATGAAGACGTGTAGTGATAGTAATAATAAGAAAAAACTTCCGCCATTAGCAAAAATTTCATCAAAACCACAGAAGCGAAGAGCATCATTGAGTGTATTTCATAGTAAAAATTCATCATTGCGCTTAAGACGATCAAATAGCATACAAACATTGGAACGTGACGAACGTGGTTTGGATGAGTATTTCTTCAATGAAATCAATCAATTGAAACATAGCAAAAAGAAGAAGCAAAAGAGAAGTAATGAAGGTGACACAACGTCATTGGAATTATTACCGCCGCCATGTACGTGTCCTTATTTCGGCGATAAACCATGTGCTATGGTTAAACCGATTGAAGTTAAAATAATAACAACATCCTCGAGCAATTTTTTCGTACCCGATAAACAACATCATCATCAACAGCAACAACTACAACATCAATTTCATGATTCAAATCAATTTATATCATCATTATCAAGTAATTCCATATCAAATAACACGACATCAACTAATAGTTTGCCGATGGCACAGAATGCAATCAAAAAGGGACGACAGAACAGTTATAATACACCAACAAAATGTAATTCTGTTGTAACGTGGGATTCAAGGCGATATCAACGACGTGGTTCTAGTATGAGCGGTTCTGCTCGTACGACGCTTGTGTTAACACCAAATAAATCATCATTGACATCTTCATCACCCCTACGACGATCTGTTACACTACGACATAATACAAACATCAATTCAAATAATGACATTAGCATGCACAATATTGCATCACAAAAAATACCGTCATCACCATGCATTTTACAAAGGAGCACCACAATTCGATCACATCATTCACGGAATTCGAGTGTAATCTCACGCAATTCATCTCGCCACGGGCGAATCATTAGATTGGAACAGAAAGCGACAAAAGTCCTCGGTGTTGTGTTTTTTACATTTGTTATATTGTGGGCACCATTTTTCGTACTAAATCTACTCCCAACTGTATGTCCTGATTGTGAGGCAAGCATCAGTCATGGCGTTTTTGATTTTGTTACATGGCTGGGATACGCATCGTCAATGGTCAATCCAATTTTTTATACAATATTCAATAAAGTCTTTCGTCAAGCGTTTAAAAAAGTTTTATTGTGTCAGTATAAAAGCAAAGCTATATGGAGACCTATACCAACAAATCATCGGTAGCAGTGTTAAACAAAGGAATTGTACGACAAATACTCAGCCAAGCATTATTGTCACACCACCCAGAATCGACACAATTGTGACACGCGACGTTTGAAAGCAACAGCAGTTGAAATGTTTGAGAATCAGACGAGGAAAATCGGAAAAAAATTTTTTTTCAGTTCTTTCAATTTCTTTCTTTATCATACTTTTCACAAAAATAACTTTTTTTCATACATTTATAATATGTATTGTGAAAAGCACACAATAAAATATTACAAATAATTTTTTAAAATGACAGAATGTTGCGGGAGATAACAAATGAGAATTTATGACAAGCAGACTTTATGTTTTGTAAAAGTGAGTAGATAGATGATTATTACAAAGAATTAGGCAAATTGTAGCGCATTTTCCCTTGAGATTAAACAACACATCTACACTTAATTAGCTAAATTAATAATGATTATGTCATTTAACGAGAATTATGTGTTGAAATGAAAACCATTTATCTTTAATAAAATTTTAAGCAAATTAACGTCATTTTGAATTTTTTTCTGCACTTCGAAAAGTTTTTAAAAGTTTTTACAGCTTTAGAAATTGAATATTTTTATATTTTTTTGAAGAGTCTATAGGAAAAAGTGGCAGAGTAAGATAGAAACGAATCGAAAACATATTGGAGCATTTAATTAGCTAAAATTTAAATTTTGTCGCCATTTTGAAATATTCTAATTTGCAAAGAATTTTAAGGAACAAAATAAATTTTTCCAGTTGAAATTTTCAAATAATAAATTCCTGTGAAGTTTCACAATAAAGCCCCAGGTTATAAATGGCACAAAAACCATTCCGACCAATTCAATTATGTTGAACATTTATTAAAGAGAATATTGTACATTTCATTATCCTGCCACGTTTTTTGGAAGCAATTTATCAGCAAGATAAAGAAGAATAATAAACAAAACCTCATATTTCATTGGAAAATGCGCTAAAACAGCACAACATGAAAGAATGAAAATAATAATTTTTTTTTTGTTGTCGAGAACAAAAACCAATGTTGAACAAATCAAGAAAAATTTTTTTTTTATTATTACATTAAGTTACAAAGGACGTAGAGAAACGAACATTTTTAATATTGTGGAGAGAGATATAATTTTAGATTAATTTGTTTTCTCTTCATCTTACTTTATAAACAAAGTAGTTCCTGTAAACTTTGATTGTGAAAAGTGAAAGAATAAATGTTTTATAGTAAATTGAGAAAATGGATGGATACAATAAAAATGTAGAGATGATGATATTATTTTCATTCTTATTCCTTAAATTGTTATGGGTTTTTATAGTCTATTTGCAACTAAATATATATATGAACTGAATGAAGGATTAAATGAAATAAAAATAGGATAGACAAGTAAATTGTATTGCTGTGATAAAAATCAATTTTTTACCGTTATTATTTTCCCAATTTTATACACTTTTCTATTACATAACCCAAGAAGATCAAGTCTAGTCATTGTGGGAAATTTTCTTTGATTGAGATTTAAGGTAACTGCTATGAGAATGGTAATAATCCCCAATCTTTAGGAGCATGTGAGAAAGTTTTAGTAATGATTTTTCGTTAAGTATGAGAACTTGAGTTGGGATGAAAGTCATCTTAACGTAGATTATGTTAGAAAACAGATTAATTTGATTCTAAATGATCTTGAAGCTTTGAATATTACAAATTGAAATTTAAATGAGCCAACTTATGCAGGTCTTGTCAATTTTTTATTGCATGAGTTTTTGAGACTCTTATATTGAATTGAATACAGATGTGGAGCTTAAAAACATTTTTAATGGGAAGGGGGTTCAGAAATCGGACCCCCTTCCTGATTTGACATTTACTTCTCAAAAAATAAAAATAATTGCTGTCAAAAAAATGTCAATCTTGTGATAAACCTCATCCCATGTCAATATATCTTATTAAAAATTGACAAAACTCGTCTAAAGCACTAAGACCTTGACTTAATAATAAAGACAAAATTTTTTAACAAGACTTTTCCCAGGAAACCTTCAAATACAATCATTTTCCACTTACGCCTTTAAATGAATTTTAATGAACGATTGAAAATAATACCCATGAGAACATCACATCGCCTCGATACTCTTATATTCGAGTCTTAAAATAAAAAAAAAAAGTCTATAAATTCTTTTTATTATTTTTCGTTCTATTTCCATTTTTTTAAGCATTAAAATAAGAAAAAGAAAAATTTTGTAAAGAAAATATATATAAATATAGCCGTAGAGCTTAAATTTATGTGAATAGGAGTAGAAATATTATGCATCACGAGACACACAAATGGATGTGAATGCTACACCAGTCATGTTGTTGAAAGACTATTATAGCAAGTATACATTAGAGCATAACTTCCTAAAGCATTCAAATATTTTTCTGTTGGAAAATGAAGAAATGAATTCATATATACTACGGCCTACGTACCCTTAGGATACAAAAGAAATGAATAATAAAAAAAAAAAATTGTAGAATAAGCCTGTTGAATTTTTTTGTTCTGGTAAATGCTCCTTCTCACCATTTTTCTCGATTTACGCACTTTTATGAACTCGGCTCAACATTTCCGCCGGAAATTTGTAGCTTGCTCCTATTCTTGGAAGATCAATGTTATGGCTTACAAGGAAATTAAACAGAAACTTTAAGATCATGGGCTTTGTGGCAGCATGCCCATTTGTTCTTTATTTAAATAACTGGGTGCCAAATTAATTTATAGTAAAATATAAAGATGATCATCTGACAGTTTGAAACAATTGACAGAAGCACTTGAGCCATTAAGTTTTAAAAAATCAATAGATGCCATTTTTGAACGCTCTCCTGCTAAATTTATTTACTGCGTAAAATCTATTATGCATCAAACTATAAAAACGAAGCTAGTCGAGCCAAGTTCACAAAAATCGCATACAAAATTCTCGTATTATTATTTCATAGAAGGAGAAAAAACAAGAAATAAAGTGAAAACGCCAAAAAAAAAAAAGATAGAGAGAGAAAGGAAAAAATTTATGTTGTGAATTCAATTTTTTACCCTCACAGCATAGTAATGTTATAAGGATATCACAATAAAATCCATGAAATATTACTTGCGCAAATTGGATATCACATACATGTTGCATTTATAATTTAATGTCAAAAAATAATTTACGATTTACGAGAAGCGCAAAAAAAATGAGGAAATTGAAATAACAATAAAGACGTATACATTCATAGATGAAGTATAAGAAGAAGAAAAATAACAGGGAGAAAAAAATGCTCATAAAATGTTATTAATTTCCTTTAATATTTGATGACATAAACGAACAAGCATGCCAACCACAACCGAGGCAGAGCTTTTATGACGAAAAGTACATTTTTTTTGTATCAAAAAAGATTATTAAGAGTATACATAAACACATAATACACAGCACTAAAGGAAATTAAAAACGTTCAAACAATGTGAATTTATATTTCTTGTATAAATAAATCCTAATCTCTAAAGAAAAAAGTCAAATAATAATAATAAAAAAAAAAAAAAAAATGTATCAACATCAATTCCGCCCACAAAGTCTTTTTTATTCATTTAACTTGTTTTTTCTTTTTTCTCTCAACTTGCATGTGTCGACTGTTTCCATTTCCTTAGGGGTTGATGCTAATAATTTGCGCTTTTTATTAGCTTTTTCATATAAAGTTATGCAACCTTTTATATGGTTTTTGACACTTTTCAGAGTACTTATTGAATCTTTACTATGAGAATGATGAAAAAGCAAAGGAAGTTGGAATTTGGTCTTTCAAATGAAATGGAAACTAGAAAAAAGTTTGACTTTTATTTGATTTTTGCAGAATTGAAGTGGATCAATAGACAATTAATGTTTAAATTGCTATAGCAAATTCAATAAATGACGCCGATCAAAAAACGAGATGCAAATTATTTAAAGGATATCAGCTATGAAGACTTGCAGAAAAATCCACCAATAAATACCTTCTTTTATTACTTTAACATTCCTTGCTTTTGCTTTCACAGCATCATTCTCATTAATTTGCTCTTAATGCAAAAAATACAACAAGAACTAGGAGCGAAAAATAAACCATCCATCATGCACAAAAGAAGGACACGAATTACTAAGAATGAGAAATCTTTTCATTTGTCATTCAAAATAAAATGATAAGCAAGAAAAATGTAGAAAGATAGAAAGAATAAGTAAGCTTAATCCATTATAAATCAATTCATGCTAATCAGCAAGGATGGATTATAACTTTTTGATTCCTCAAGATTATATCCAATTGTCTACAATAAATCTGAGTATTTTTCAGTACTTCTTGACTTATTGATTGTATTATTTCAATTGCCTATACAAAGTAGATTCTCAACAGTCTGACAAGTACATTTTACCCTCCCATTCATGATAATAAACGCTTGTTCTGTGTTACATTGCAGGGGCGTAGTCAAGAGGATGTGTTTGGGTGACAAATTACTTTTACTAACTGGCTGTAATGAACTTTTTTTTTGGATGAAGAATGCATAGTTTTGGTAGATTCTTTACACTTTTGTGCCTTATTCAAGTTCTTAGGACTTATTTAAGTTTTTGATTAAGTTTTTCAGCTTTAATGAATCTTATTAAAGTTCCATGCAAGGTTCTATAGCTTTTTAAAGTCTTATTTAAGTTCCTGATTGGGTTGTTCAGCCTTAATAAGTCTTGTTCAAGTTCCATGTAAGATTCTTCAATAGAAACTCCCGAAATGTGAATCCTAAGTACATCGATGTCACATAGACTTCGAATAGAAATGAAAAGACTTATAAGAAGTTACGTTTCCTCATTCGGTTTCTTCTCTCTTTTTTATGATGATGATAATGCTGATGATGTTGTAAGAAAAGCATATTTCGATCGATAAGATTTTCTGTCATTCACTTTTTTAGTGTGTGTGTGTGTGCCTTACCTCTCATTCAGAAAAGAAATGAATGAAAGAAATGTTGAGTAGCAAGTACAAGAAGCACAGATTACACAATTTTCTCAAAAAGTTTTTCACAAAGATTTTTCTTTCGTTAAAAGTTTGTGGAAATATGTTACGTACGAAGGAAATGAGATAATTTGAAATGAAATTTAATTTAAAACTTGAAAACTACGCATTATATTATACCAATGAAATATATTATTTTATCCTTTAGAGTGGCATTTAAAGCCTACATTTTACATTAAATATTTATGAGATTCGCAAAAATTCAGCAAACATTATATGACTGGTGTAAATTATTACCCGAGAAACCGACAAAATGCAATAATAACAACTTAGTTGCCCCCAAAATAAAAGCTTAAAAAGAAAAATGATTCGTTCAGTCAATTTCTACGTTTCTGTGTTATTGTCAAATTGATAACGATTTAGCTTATTCCATACTTCTTATTTATGTGTAATTTTCCTTTTTTGTAACATGAACGTCATCTCTAAACGTTCCTCTCTAGTCTCTAGTCGATTTCGAATATACATTATACACGTATGTAAGTAAGAAATAGCAATAATGTGAATTAAAGCAGTGTATGCTAAACTGTGTAGTGTGAGATATTCTAGGGATAGAATTTTGTTAAAAGCATTGCTAATAAAAGATCCTGAGACCAGGCAGTTTGAAGAACAACAAATTTGAAGACATTTATCAGGCACACGTAAGATGTTTTAGGAAATTTCATGAACAGGTTGAGATGCTCAAGAAGCAGCTTAAGTCTGTTTGAAAACAAAAGTTTCGCAGACCATTCAAAACATACATTAAATGAAGAAATCCGATTTCTCATTATTACTTTTTACATTCACGTTCACGAGCAATCGATTTCTATATCAAGAAACATTTGAATTTTTTTTTATTCTACTTCTGCTATTGCTTTTTTTCTGCTCTTCTACTTTATAAGAGTATTACGAGGGTTATCACTTTTGCTTTAATTAATCTTCAACAATTCATTTTATTCGTCGTCAAGAGGATTCTCGAGAATGTGAAAGGAGCTCGTTTGCCTCCCCAGAAGAGGAGAAAAAAAGTAAATGATAAGTTGAAAAGGAAAGCACAAAGAAGAAGTAAAGATTGAGAGAAATGGGAAGTAAATCTTGAAAACGATGAAGGTATTCAAAATATAACGGTGAGAGTCTGACTCGACCAGCAATAAAAAAAATAAAGGAAGAAGGATAAAAAAAGCATTTTTCACTCACCGAAACAATAAGAATCCAATTCCAGTTACCGCAGCTCTACGAACATCATCGTTTACGTCCGAAACCTTTTTTTAATGCATGTGAATATGGAAAATAAAGGAAAAGAAAGTTATAAAAAAAATTTGTGAATATAAAATTTGCCAAAACATAAAGAAGATATGTCGGATGGATCGCACAAAGAACGATATTTTTTTTTGGATTGAATTTTCATCTGTGAGATATTTCCAACGAAAATGTCAGAGATGAGCACATGATTGGGACGGAGGTATATTTGTTTTTGAGAGAAATATCACATAAAAGTTTAATGAGTTTCACACAGTCGAGAATCTAATTTTCAAAATTTTCTTCTTCATCTTTTACTAGGAAACTGTTTCCGTAAGTAATGACGTGCATGAAATTAAACAATTCACTTAATTATTTTCAAGTGCTTCGGGTATTGTTCTTTACAAATTGTTTCAATATCAATCAACAAAAATAAACTTTGTGGAAGCTGAACGAGATGGATAATTAGGAACTTTAAAAATTTATCTACAATAAGTTTGCAGTTTAAATTCTGTTGGATTCAACAATAGATGAAAGTTTTTCATGAATGTGGGTATTGGAACTTTATAGTTTTCTCTTGTAGCTTCAAACTCTCTCATTATTGAAGGATAAAGTCTATTTATGGATAGCAAAAAGTTATGAAAAATATCAGATTTCAGTAAGGGAAATGTTTTTAAATGATGTTTGAACAACAAACAATAGAATTCCAAAAAATTCTGTAGCTTTTGATTCATTCCTTCCTTGCGACGTTATTTATGAACGAACCATAAGTTGCATTTGTTTGAATTATGATCAAATGCATTAAATTTCAAGAAAAATGTATCCTGCATTCCATCATGAAGCATATAAAGCTCTTAAATACACAGAAATTCTTAAAATATCATCAAATTACCATCCATCCGCAACCAGGAAACTCATCAACGAGAATTATACATAAACAATTATTTACTTACAGCAACATGAAGCAATTTTCTGATTGCTTGATTATTTCCAGTACCACAATATGCCATTGCAATCGTATACATTCCGCTTCGTCTCAAAACCGGATCTTTATCGTTAGATAAGCTCGTGACAAGTGCATCGCTCTCCTCCAATCGATTAAACATAGTTAATGAGATGCCGACAGCTAAACCACGTAAAATTTTCTCATGACCTGTATAAATAAATGTTTATAGATAAGTTGGGTGAGTGAATGAATCATTATTGTGTATAAATATAGAATACAAAATAAAACTATGTGGTAAGCCATATTTCAGATTTAGGCAACAGTTCAAGTTTGAAAAGAATAAATCAATAATCCAAAGTTTTATTATATTTTTGGACGAACTTTATGTGCTGTGCTGTATTTGCCAAAAAGTTTTATTTCAGTTTCACCATAAAGCAACAACGAAAAATTCATTTTAAATTCACATCCATATATTTTCAAACGATAGCATATCTGGATAAATTTAGTTCATCTGTTTGGTAGTTAAACTTTATGAAATGATTCATCAAAATTTATATGGCTTGCAAGGATCTTTTTGAATAATTTTTGGTGCTTCTTATTAACATTTTATAGATTTTATTAATAAACTCGGATATATTTACAAATGATGCCATTGTGGTGTTCATGAATGACGTCAATCAGAAATAGGTTTAGAACACTCCCCATTTCATAACACAAAATGTGTATGAAGTTTTAAATTCAGCTTTCCTGTGCAAGTGTTAAACGTCATTTATGAACGACCTCTAAGCAACCCTAAACTAGCCTTACATGAAGTACCCAAAAACAATCTATTATATCTCAAAACCAAGTCACTGTGTCTTTAAAGTCACATTCCTTTCATAATTTCTCATCTAAACTAAACTAGATCCAGATAAGCTACTTGATGTTTATATGGATATAAAAAATTTTCTATCTCATCTCACTTCCTTTTCTCATGATGAAAAACTTTTTCATAAAATGTGAAATTTTATTTTTATAATAATTTAACTGGAAAAAAGTGGTTGTTCTTACCTGTTTCTTGTGCATACTAAATATATGTATATGAACCGGTTGATTCCAACATAAATTTGTCAAACAAATTTATTCATTTAATACATGAAAATAAAGAGTAAGGGATAAATGAGTAAAAATGCTAGATACTCGGTTTTAATGTTTTAAAAATAAATAAAAAACTTTTTTTTGCTGTTATTTACGGAGGAACGAAATAAATCGAGATTTTATGTACGATGACGCTGATGTCTCTGACAGGGATAAATAAAAAATACATTACGTCCTACAATCTGAATCAATTCTGTTCCAACACAACAATTATTACACACATCGCACAATTTCTTGTATGCCATCGAACTCAAATGTACATTTAATTATGCTTTGTTATAAAAATTTTATTCGCCATTCAGTTTATTATTATTGTTCTCTCTTCATCCACATGCACACACACACACATATAGTTTGCACATTTTCCATTCATGACCGCTTAATCCACTGACTGACGTTTATGTATTTTTTTTTAAAGTACTTTGCTCTAGGAATACGGAACTTCATGTACACTTTGGGCAGGTCGGTTGACAAGCTAATGCTATTGTAATTAGAAATTTTTCCGGAGGAAATTAGTGACATAGAAAACGCCTGTTAATGGCACTCAAGGATGGCATGTAAATAAATTACTGTTTTAAATTGATATATTTAAAATTGGAAGAATTGGTAAGATTTTAAAATTTGCTAATTATAACATAAGTTGGACATGGTTTGGCTAATCTTAGTTAGATGCAAGGCTTTTAAAAGAAAATTTAAGAGAACCTTAAACTTTTTTTTGTTCTTTACTATTTAAAAATTGCTTTACGGACCAAAGGTCTTGTGTTTAATCCCAAGTTGAGTCAATTTTTAAAAGTTTTTTTCCTCGTTCTGGTTACGGTGCTCAGTTCGTGTGTTGGATGTAGTTTTGAGGTCCTCGCACATAATCTGGTCTCCTTTGCTAGCATTTTGAAGACTTCTTTAAGGTATCTTGCGCACATGAATTGTAGCTAAGCCCATTGCAGGATACAATCAGGTCTTTAGACGAACTCGTGTCTTTGAAATATGCAAAGCTTGCAAGTTGTCGGGAATTTATTATAAACTGTAGGTCTAAAGGATGCTATTCAATAGATTATGTCCTAATTGAATAGCAATTCGTTCACCTCAATAGTCTGGGATTCTTCCAGCGATTTAATCATAGCTATTAAACTAGTTGTTTAATGTAAATTTAGAGACTAAGTCTAGAAAAATTCCCATTATGACACTGAGCATCTCCAATGATGACCTAAATTATTAATTCATAAACATTTCCAGTTTCTAATTCCTCTATCAAAATATATTATATACACAGAAGCAGTGCACATTTATTAAATATTCAAATTCAATTATTATGATAATTACTCTAAAAGGCTAATGCACCACAAACAGCAGCCCACGTTATCACTCTAACTAGGTTGTTAACAGCGTTCAAAAAAAAAAATTAATATGCAGAAAAAAATTGAACGTTCCCACGTGAAAGCTTTACTGCAGCAATAAATCTCCTGTGCATAAAAAGTATTTTATTTTACAGCGCGCTGTTCATTTTGGTTCTGTTCTTTCTCATGCACATGTGAGGTATAGATGGTTTATCATATTTCCATCAAGAAAAAACTTTTTTCAACCAAACAACAGCACAGCAAAAAAAAACTTTTTTTCCTTTCTTTCCTTTAACCACACGCGCTTCCATTGATGCAGTAAATTTAAGCATTTGAGAATGAATACATGAATGGTTTATTGTGTTGAAAAATTGTCGGTTTTTTGTGCTAGAAATGATATTTTAGTCGATTTTGTGAAAACTGTATGCGTACTTTAATTGAGTAAGGATTATTGAATGCCAGGATTAAATGTTTTCAAAGGATTTGAAGTAAATATGCCAAAATGTGCATCAAACCGAGCATTTTATTATTTTGTATGGTATGGTTTTTAAATTGTTCGAATGGTTTCACTCAAATATAATCGTTTAGTACCCAGAATTATTCTATTCATGAATAATACCTCCACAACCAGTCCACTTCACGTTAGAGTAATATCCAATTACTTCAACACAGCTTAACTAAAATTTTTCATTAAACATAACAAAATTCCAAGTACTGAGATCCCAATCGCTCACTTTTTCATTCATTTCTCTTTAATATTCAAGCATTATATCAGAAATTTTCAGCACGTTCCTGTGACAAGCAAGTGGCACTTTCACTATTCATGGAAAAAAAAAGTCATTCAAAGGAAGATAATTGCAAAGAATTGAAGGCAGAGATATTGCCTTGACGTCAATGTCCGACTATTCATCATAAGAGCTTTCAATTTTCCAGCGTAGATTCACACACATTTTATATTCTATTCAACGCATGTCAATACGGTAACACTGTTGATATAATAGAAGAAGTGAAATGGTATAGTGTATTCAACAACCAATAATACGATTTTGGGATTTTCAATTTCCATTATTGAGAATTTTTTTTTTGTAAATTTGTGGATGAATGATGTGGGAATTTCAAGCCACAGGAGATGGATTTGCAAGATTCTTATTGAAAATGTTCTAAGAATTTAAATTTTCCAGAGCTTTTTTTTATGTTGAACGCTTTTTGAAAATAATCCAAAATAAAATTCTACTCACACAATGGCATTAACCAGGTCCATTTTAAAATTGTTAAACAGGAATTATCATGATATAGTCATATTATCCGAAATAAATGCAATTAAAGCAAGTAAAGACTATTCAAAAATCAAAAACTGGTACAGCAAAAGAGAAGAGAATGAAGGAATATTATTTATTCGTGAACACAGGCAACAGGTGAAACAGAAACAATTTTAAAATATTCCTCTCCTGAAAAGCTTCACCGTTGAATGCTCTCCATTTATCATCAGTGAATACAGAATTCGTTGGGTAAAGTTTCATGTCAGACTTAATTTAAATTTTATCAAGCACAGAAACGTTGAGTGTCAGAATGCTTCAAAGACTGTTATAACTGATTAGAATTCAATGCAATACTTCATATGCTTCCGATATTTAAGCGGAAATGGAATCATTTTGTTATGATGTCTTAATAATCGAAGGAATGGAACGATTGGAAAGTTTACTTGTTGCTTTGTATTGTCTAGAAATTAGCTTTTAAGCCCTGTGAGCATGCAACAACATCTCGGTAGCTCGACTGAACTCTTCAACAACTCTAAGACACTCTAAGAAACTGCACATTGGAAAATCTATCCAAACAACCAACAAAAAGATGCACACCATTAACAAACGTCCCCGATGAGAAGATTTGACAAATAAAAAAATCGTAAATTTATACTGATTTGAAAATTTCGCTATTTTGTTACTCACGTAGGCATTCCATATCAGCACATAGTCTTGAAGAGGAGTAGGAGGAGGAGAAAGGAAATAAAAAATAAAATATTTCCATTAAAATGGCTTTTTTCTCTTCCGAAAAAAAGATGTGCCATCAAAATGTCTATTGAGGGTAAAATAAAATATAATTTTCTTTCTATTTCTCAATTCACTTTTCCTTTATGTTTTTCTCATACGACATTTATATTCCCCAAAAAGTAAAATAATATTAAATTGACAATAAAACTGTAATGTATGTGTGACTATGTGGTAAAATGACTGAATGACTGATTTTATGCTTGAATTTTTTTCTATTGACTCCTTCAAGTTCAAATTTACTCACTATTATCAAAGTTCATTCAAAAAAGTAATCCCGCAACAGAGTAAAGCCACCCTTTTTCCAAATCGTTTATTTCAGATTCTCTATAGACGATTATTCTCTGGTATTTTTAAATTTAGAGCTGTTTCAATCGAAAAAGGTATATTTGAGGGCTCACATTTAAAAGGAGAATTTAAGCTAATGTCTTTTAGAAATTCGTAGCCCTTTCTATTTTGACTCTAGTACACAACCTCCGGAATTTCGGAATATTCATTTTATCAACCGTTCTTTAATTTTGTTTAATTTACATTAAACTTTATTAACTTTTTTTGAAGCATAATAATCGAAATGAAAGCAATAGGAAAATTCTCAGAAATAATTTTTTGTATTATTTCGAATGATCTACACCCTCAAGGATTATAAAATATATTCAGATCAGTGGATTGACATCATTGAAATAAGAGAATACGTGACTAAAGTCATTTCGACACTCCTAAAGTAAATTATCAATTCTTGATAAAATTATGAAGTTTTCACTTTAATCCCTTTTAAGTTAATTTAAGTTTCTTTGTAATATGGAAATAATTTGTAGACCAAAATTATAAATTGAGTTGTTTCTAACTACATTAATAGCACTAATTCGATTTCAACCAATGTAATCTATTTCTTTGGGCAATTCATTTATGTTCATTAATATTCAACAAGTTTTGTCTCTCATCCTTCGTCCATGAAATGAGTGGGAGTGGATTATTATACAGATCTTTTTTAGAATAAGGAGTTAACTTCAAACAGAGCTAAGTGTCGATTCCTATATACAAAGCCCATAGAAAAATCCGAGTCAATTTCAGCCAGCTCCTGTACATCGAATCATCTTTAATTAATATTTATTGTTCAAAACCAATCAGTATCTTCCAGTTAAAAGTGTGGTGGAAGCTACAAACTTTACCAAAATAGATTAAGCCTCCAAAGTTAATGATAATGCGTCTCATTCTCTCAATCCTCTAAAACATCAGCAACTGACATTCCCAATGCAAAGAGTTTCTATAGAAAATCGTTATCGACAAATAAAATTGCTCAATTTGGGAAGCTTTATAAGCTCATTAGCAATCATCGAATAATTTTTCCCTTTTCAAGTGATTTTTCTGACTTTATATTTAAAATAAAATAGATTTAGCAGAAAAAAGGGGTTTAATTAGGCACAAAATTACATTCATCATATAAATTTGGTTTCATAGCATGAGTAAGCACAATGAAACCACAACAAATCCTATCTGAAGTGATTCAACTGTTTTAATTAAAATGTGGCTTTTGTAAATTAAAGTTTTATACT